TTATCAATTCTTAATGTCAACTTTAGGTGAGATTCCAATAACCGGTCATTCCAATTATATTTGACGTCATTTATTGCGAGCTGCGTTTCGAACCGAACAAACCAAGAAGGCAAGAACATAACACAAATTTTTCAAAATTTATTCACTGGAGATGATGATGATGATGATAGTCATCATTAAATGAAATCTACTTACATAGATGTCCTGCCTGGTTGTCTCTAGCTTAATTCAGTGGTGGTTATCTAAACCGGATTTAACCAATCGATACTAATTTATATGTAATTGATTAATTAATTAAACAAAAAAGCATAAAAATCTACCGTTCAGCAAAACTTGTCAGGTGGACTTTTGGTAGGGACATTGGCCACGTGATTTCTACATTTCTAAATTTCCACTCTTTTGTCTCTTCTCTTCATAATTCTCTTTCACACCATCCAAATTCCAAATTCCAAAACCAAAACTAAAAAAACTCAACACACTCTTTCTCTTCATAACTCCAAAAACACTCACAAATCCCAACCTAAAAGACTCATCCGATCCATCACCGGATCTTCTCATGGAACCCGCCGCTTCCGGGTCACCGCAACCCTCATCCCCATCCACATCACCACCACCACCACCACAACCAAGTCGTTACGAGTCACAAAAACGCCGCGACTGGAACACGTTTCTACAATACCTGAGAAACCACAAACCACCCTTAACGCTAACTCGCTGCAGCGGTGCACACGTACTCAAGTTCCTCAAGTACTTAGACCAGTTCGGGAAAACCAAAGTCCACGTGGAAACCTGTCCTTTCTTCGGCCATCCGGATCCACCATCTTCTTGCTCTTGTCCTCACAAGCAAGCTTGGGGATCTCTCGACGCTTTGATCGGACGGCTTAGAGCTGCTTACGAAGAAAACGGTGGACGGCCCGATTCGAACCCGTTTGCTGCACGCGCCGTTAGGATTTACTTGAGGGAAGTCAAAGAGAGTCAAGCTAAGGCTCGTGGGATTCCTTATGAGAAAAAGAAACGGAAACGTAAACCTACCGTTACCTCCGTTAGATTGGATGTGGATTTAACGAGTAGTGTCACCGGAGACGGGAGTAACAGTGATTCTCCGGCTACCTCCGGAGCCGTACCTTCCCTAGGTTAATATTATTAGACCTAATTTGCTTATTATATCTATCTATATATATATATATATATATGTTATCTGTAAATTTACATTTTTTTTAGTGTAGTCGCTACAATTTAGTTATATATTCTATTTGTTTCAAAATATATGATGTTTTAGCATTAAGCACATACTTTAAGAAATTATTTTTTAAAAAAAAATTATCATTTAATATTTAATTTAATAAAATTTAACCAATAATATAAAAGACTGCATAACAGAAATAATAATAAAATATCAAATGCATTTAAAAGTTATTTAAAAATTGCATAGAAAATTGTAAACATCTTATATTTGAAACAAACTAAAAACTCTAAAACATCCTCTAAAATGAAACAGAGTGAATACATTTTTAGTTGATCGTAAAAAGACATTTGTTCCGGAGTTGCTATATAGTTATTAATTTTTTTTCACTAGATTTATTATTTATTGCAAATTTATGAGAACTGTTACATAGAAGATTTTACAACGGACAATTCCTTCCGATTCTTATTAGATCCACGATAGACGATACTTCTTTCTTCGTGCTCTTGACGGACACTTTTAATGATCCACGATATGACGATACTTCTCTCTGCGTAGAATCTTGACGAACGACAATAATTATATATCGCTGGAGATCTCCTGCACATTTGCCTCCATTAATCTGCAAATTTATTAATAAATCGTAATATGTAGGACTCGAACCCCAAACCTCTTGGTGTAGAAACATTAATTAATCTTTAGTCAATCAATAGGCCAAAGAAGCTATATAGTTATTAATATCTTTGAAGTTAGTGGTTCATAGTATATACTACTTTTTTAACGAAGATCTTCAATTTCTGATATGAGGATGAGATTGTTCAGAGAATTAATGAAGACTATTTTAGATTCAAAATTTTGTGAAAGTGATGAGAGATATAACCAACGATGAATGAAAGAGGTGAGACGTTTTTGTCTTAGTGTGTATGTTTTTTTTTTTTTTTTTGTGTTTTGTTGTTGTTAGTATATATATATATAATTAAATCCATATACGTTGATTTTTAATTTGTATCTATTTGATTATTATTGGGTTGAAGAGCAGCTTTCATTCTTCACACAAAGTTTTGATTTTAGTCTCAAATATTTTGTCTCTGTCCGATATGTCCTACACTCCTACTATATATTCTTAAATCGATTTCGTGACAAATCATCCAATTATTCAAAGCAATAAGTTGTCATTTTTTTTTTTGATAACCCAGTATCCAGACCACACAGTGATCTGACTAGCCCACTGGGCCTAAGCCCACGTCACAGGGATTTTTAAGCCTCCACTTAAGAGCCCCCTGATAAACTCGTGGTCTGGGGCGCCTGAGCAAGTCCGCATGTAAATTCCCAGGTGGCCACAGGAGTGAGAGAGCGAAACTGCGTCTGGGGAGGATCGATCCCTGGCTTAAGTTGTCATCTTTACATTTCCATTTACTTTTTTTTTTCAAGGATCGATCCCTGGCTTAAGTTGTCATCTTTACATTTCCATTTACTTTTTTTTTTCAAAAACTTTAAAACTACATTTCGAGTGAATTGGTAAAACTGTTTTTAAAGTGGATTTTTCAATTGCTTTAGAAATGATCTAATAAATAATTATTGAACATCTTCATGGATCATCTTCTATATATTTTCACTGCTAACTTGTATTTTTTTACGTAGACGACGGTAAATTGTCTGGACATTTTGCAAGTTTATGTAGCATTCGATGTCGCTTAATCGTTTGTTATTGTGATGAATGTTCACTTGAACTTCTGAAATTTCATGTAAAGAAATGTATGTAAGATTTCATGATACGTTTTAGGATACCTTCCATGTCGGGCAAGGAAAACACTCGCACTATAGATGTACTCGTTCTTCATATTTTCCAAAGGGTCATGGGTTTAGGTCTTAATCCGGCTAAAACGTATGCTAGTCTCTACGAGTGATTAAAAATGGTCTGTCGCATCATGATGAAACCAAGATAACTCTCAAAAAACAAAAATAAAACAATTATCAAGTTTGTTATGTAAGTGCGGATGAGGTAAGATAAATTGTAGAAAGTAAACGAGACAAGAAATTTGTTAACGAGGTTCGGTTTTTCCTACTCCCCGGGACAAAGTCCAGATTTCGATTTCACTAGAACAAGAAAGCAAATTACAACCAATTCGCAAACGCGTAAAACAAGCCCAACCCTCTTGATTTACCGCTCCCTTCTATAACGTGAAACCTTAAGGATAATCTCTACCCTTAACTAAACTCCCCTTGAGTCTAGATTTAATCAGGATAACCTAACCCTGAGCTAAACTCCCCTTGAGCCTAGACTTCAAAACAAAACCACTTGATCACACAAGCACAAAACCCGCAAAACTAAGTTGCACAAAACCGCGAAACTATGTCGCACACACCCTCTGAAAGCTCTCAATGATTTGCCTATATGCCTCAGCTCTCTTCCTCTCCAAGACGTCCTCCACTCCTCCTTATATAGCCAAAACGATTTCCTAATCACCATAGGAGAAGATTTCCAATTTCCATAAGAAAAAGTAAATTTCCTTTTATAGTTTTCCTTTTTCTCATCAAACTCCACTTTCATCAAGTCTTCCAAATCTCTTTAAGTTCTTTTTCCTTTGTGATTTATCCTCTAAACACGCTCCAAACATATCTTCTCAAACCTTCTAGAAATCGACACTCACACAAAAACAGTCGCATCTTGACTTACTTCTTGAATTATTCAGCAACTCCATCAGACAAACTCTTGTATTACTTCTTGACTCATTCAACAACTTAATCAGACTCTAGCTACATCTTAATGTTATGTGGTATATTTACTTTGTACTCCACAGTACGTTAATACAGAAAAATATTTCCCAGTTTCCACAAGTGCTTGAAGGTACGTACGTCAATGTGAATACTCACACACACGTGTACATAAATAGGCTTGGAAAGATATTAGGAACGTGAGAGGAAGAAGATGTTGGCTACTATTTTCCGACCGACATGAGGCCTCGCTCCTGTGATCTTAAGTGCGTGCAAAAGTAGCCACCCGTGTGCAGTGTGCTTTCGCCATGTACGTTTTAAGTTTTAACCTGTCAGTGTCAGTTGTTTGCTTGCGTCAGTCGTCTATCTCAAGAAAAAAAGTGTTTTCGATCGTTTCTTAAAATATAAGGACTATTCCACATAATTGGACTATTCCACATAATTGGAAGAAGATATTACTTTTGCTATGTATACATAGCCATTGAATCTTCAGTTGATGATCCCTTAAGAGCAACTCCAATGTCAACTTCCTTCTTCACTTCATCTACCTTCTTCATCTTTTCTTTAGCTTCATATGCTTTGCTTAACTCAAAACCTTGAAGAATCCCAACAAACTCATCAAAAGCCATCTCATCTAGATTATGAGCTTCTTCAACTGCAGAAATATTTGACTCAAATTTTGCAGGCAATGATCTCTTCAACTTCTTCACTAGCTTTTTGTCCTTGTAGACCTTTCCAAGAGCAAACGATTCATTAGATATGTCACATAACTTTGCACTAAAATCAGCCACAGTTTCCTCTTCTTCTATCCTTAGATTCTCAAATTGCGAAGCCAACATATCCAATTTCGTTCTCTTAACGCTTGTAGTACCTTCAAACATATTCTCCAATGTCTTCCATGCTTTTTGAGCTGATGCACATTGAGAAATCAACTTAAAACGGCTTAAATCAATAGCATTGTAAATCGCAGTCTTAGCCTTAGAATTACAACTTGATAGCTTTTTCTCTGTAGCAGTCCACTTATCTCTTGGCTTGAGACTTACAACTCCATCATCATCCGTAACTTTAGGAGCCTCCCAACCAAGTTCAATTGAATTCCAACAATCTTCATCAAGATTACTAATAAAAGCTTGCATACGAACCTTCCAATATCCATAATTCGCTGAATCAAGAAGTGGTGGTCTTGTCATAGATGTACCTTCCTTGTATGACTCCATCTCACACGATTCTCAGCTCTGACTTACTTTCTGAACGATCTCCTGAACAATCTTCTGAACGATCTGCTGAACCTCACCCTGATCTACCCGAAACAAGACTAAATCTCTATCGAGAACCCGCTCTGATACCAATTGTAAGTGCGGATGAGGTAAGATAAATTGTAGAAAGTAAACGAGACAAGAAATTTGTTAACGAGGTTCGGTTTTTCCTACTCCCCGGGACCAAGTCCAGATTTTGATTTCACTAGAACAAGAAAGCAAATTACAACCAATTCGGAAACGCGTAAAACAAGCCCAACCCTCTTGATTTACCGCTCCCTTCTATAACGTGAAACCTTAAGGATAATCTCTACCCTTAACTAAACTCCCATTGAGTCTAGATTTAATCAGGATAACCTAACCCTGAGCTAAACTCCCCTTGAGCCTAGACTTCAAAACAAAACCACTTGATCACACAAGCACAAAACCCGCAAAACTAAGTTGTACAAAACCGCGAAACTATGTCGCACACACCCTCTGAAAGCTCTCAATGATTTGCCTATATGCCTCAGCTCTCTTCCTCTCCAAGACGTCCTCCACTCCTCCTTATATAGCCAAAACGATTTCCTAATCACCATAGGAGAAGATTTCCAATTTCCATAAGAAAAAGTAAATTTCCTTTTATAGTTTTCCTTTTTCTCATCAAACTCCACTTTCATCAAGTCTTCCAAATCTCTTTAAGTTCTTTTTCCTTTGTGATTTATCCTCTAAACACGCTCCAAACATATCTTCTCAAACCTTCTAGAAATCGACACTCACACAAAAACAGTCGCATCTTGACTTACTTCTTGAATTATTCAGCAACTCCATCAGACAAACTCTTGTATTACTTCTTGACTCATTCAACAACTTAATCAGACTCTAGCTACATCTTAATGTTATGTGGTATATTTACTTTGTACTCCACAGTACGTTAATACAGAAAAATATTTCCCAGTTTCCACAAGTGCTTGAAGGTACGTACGTCAATGTGAATACTCACACACACGTGTACATAAATAGGCTTGGAA